CACTAGTGTGGAATTTGCAATCCTCCTGGTTTTTTTGTTTTGTTTTGTTTTGGTTTTTGGTTTTTCGAGGCAGGGTTTCTCTGAGTGTAGCTTTGGAGTCTATCCTGGCACTCACTTTGGAGACCAGGCTGGCCTCGAACTCACAGAGATCCGCCTGCCTCTGCCTCCCGAGTGCTGGGACTAAAGGCGTGCGCCACCAACACCTGGCTACACTGCAGCTGTTTTTAAACACGCTTTATTACTTTAAACATTATACGCATAGTTATAGCCGATAATTTGAATCCTCTGAAGGTTGTTTCTGTTTTGTTTATTCTTCTAGTGTTAGGTCACGATGTCTTGTTTTCTTATGTGTCTGGCTATCTTGACTAGGAATGTAGTCATTGCTCATAGGAGATCCTTGAGGTTTAGGAAAGCAATGTTGTAGACTTTTACTTATTCTTTGACAATTTCATACATGTGTACACTATACCTCGATCCTTCCTACTCCCCTGACCTGCATGTGGGGAAGCATTTTCACTGGTTCCAGCCAAACATCTAGTAACGTTGCCAGTCCAGGACCGCCTTGACCCAACTTTAAGGTCCTGAGATCTACCCAAGAGACAGAAGACAGACAGAAGATCAGGAGAGGGCTGTGTACTTCTGGTTCACCCTTACACTGAGGGTGTAACCTTTGGAGTCCCACGTCAAAGTGGGATGGCAATCTTATTTATTGTAAGCCCTGCCTTGTATCAGCTTTAAGGTTTGATCGCTGTCTCTCATTCCGTAAGGCTAACAAAATAAAACTGAGATTTGTCAAGATCAGAAAAGACTTCAGGGAAAACAACAGCCTCTCCTCTTATTTACCCACCGAGATTCCTTTTTGCCTCAGTTTTAGCCTGGCAATTCCCTTCATTGCTTTTGGTAAATTACAAGACTCTTATCCAACCTCAGTTTTAGCCTGGCAATTCCCTTCATTGCTTTTGGTAAATTACAAGGCTCCCATCCACCCCTTGCAGCCATTTTCACCAAGATGGACCCAAGCCGTCTAGCATGGCGGCGTACCAGGAACTGGAAGCCCTTTCTTCATTCATTCCATGAGTATTTGCTGAGTGTCTACTGTGTGCCAGACACTGTTGTGTGGTGGCCCCAGCAGCACACCTGACCCACAGAGCAGGCTGTTATGGAGTGTTACGGTCTTCTCTGCAGAGACGGAAAATAAACAGAGTTACACAATCGATTAGTTAATTGCAGCTGTAACACATATTGAAGGAAGGGAACTCAAGGGTGGTGAGAGTCACTGACTGGGAGTTCTCCCTGCTTTGTGAAAGTCATCTTGTAGGGATGCAATTTCAAGTTGAGATCTGAAGAGGATGAATAAGCAAGCCACCAGAGGTTTGGATGGGAGAGAGAATACGGGCAAAGTGAACAACATATGGAAAACATGGCAGGTGGATGATGGTGACGCTCGCCTTTAGTCCCAGCCCTTGAGAGGCAGAGGCAGGCGGATCTCTGTGAGTTCGAGACCAGCCTGATCTACAGAGCGAGTGCCAGGACAGCCTCCAAAGCTACACAGAGAAACCCTGTCTTGGGGAAAAAAAGAAAACTCAGACATGGCAAAGGACTGAAAAAGGTCACATGTGTGTGAGCACAGTGCAGGCTGGGGACAAGAGGTGAGCTGGAGGATTGGCTGGACTACCTACACACATGTGTTTAGGATTGGACCAGCAGCCCGGAAGCAAAAAGAACCGTGGAGCACACTGAGGTTGTTTATAAAGGGGATTGCTCTGCAGGGCGTGGCTGTGCCCACCTTTAATCCCAGCTCTTGGAAGGCTGAGGCAGGAGGATTGTGAGCTCAAGGTAAGCCTGGACTACATAGTGAGGCAATGTCTCAGTAACAAGAGGATCAGTCTACTGATGTATGGGGGCTGAATCATGGTGGGCGACGTGACACCCGTCAGGCCAGGGCTAATGTGGCTCCATAGCTCAGAGATGGTGGATTAGAAGACACAGAATTATCCCTCAAAACCGTGCTCACTCATGCCCACTTTTCCTCAGTCATCCCAGACTCTGTACATGTCCTGTCCCTGGCACTGAGACTCTCCCATGCCCTGTGGCTTCCTATTGGGCTTTGCCTGTGTGAAGCAGCAGCAGGGCTACCTGAGGGATAGAGGGAAGAAGCTGGGGTGCCTACTCACTGATCCAGGGTCTCTCTTAGGTCTCCCTAAAGATATCACCCTATCTACCCATGGCTCTGTCCTCCAGTTCTCACTGGGCCTGTGAGCTCCGGTTCCTCCCCTTGTCATTTCAGCTGGACAGGTAACCACAAAGGCTGCTACAGCTAGTTTCTGAGAACATTTTCTCAGCCCCTCTAACTGATCCCATTGTTAACAGCTCTTTACTGGATGAGGTGAGGTGACTTTGGTTTTTATCCAGGATCCTGACTGATCAATGTCCAATACCTAGAGAGGCTTTTTTGAGGTTGTTATTATGATTATTGTTTTTGTTTCATTGGTTGGGTTTTTGTTTTCTTTGTGTATCTATTTGTTTGCCTTAAAGACTCCCATGGCTAAAAATGTAGATCAGTGGTGGAGCCCCTGCCTAGAATCCCCCAGTGAGGGGCTGGGGGTGTGGCTCAGTGGTAGAGCCCCTGCCTGGAATGAGGGGCTAGAGGCATGGTTCAGGAGTGTAGTGCAGGCCTAGCTTGTACAAAGTCTTGGGTTCCATCCCTAGTGCTTAGGGGAAAAAAAGAATTGAAGGAAGTAATCTGCCTATGAGTCCAGGAGGGGTGCCAGTCCCCTGGGGCAGTCAAACGGGCGGTGTCAGCCCACATGAAGGCCCTGCTGCTGGCCACATTCTGCAAACAAACATCTGTATGTGTGTGCGTGGCAAGCCAGTTAAAAATGACAACCATGACTGTGACAACTTTATGGAGCTGCAGTATGGAGGAGGACAGAGATAATTAGGCAAATCATAAATATATGTAGTGACGCCTTTTGTCTGTGCAAACCCTGTCTGTCTACTGGGAATCCCAGCCTGCAGATGGGTGGGTGGGGAGGGTGCTTTGTAATCTCCTTTCAGACTTAGTCCCTCAAGCCTTCTCTGATGAAACACTCTCGGGACTGAGGTGAAAGCATGTCTTACTTCTTTTTTTTTTCTTTTTTTTTTTTCTTTTTTCTTTTTTCTTTCTTCTTTTTTCTTTGGTTTTTCGAGACAGGGTTTCTCTGTGTAGCTTTGGAGCCTATCCTGGAACTCGCTCTGTAGACCAGGCTGGCCTC